GCCGCCAGCATCTGAAGATGGCCAGCGCCCGGATGATGGTAGTCCACCTGGACAGGTTGGCGTATTATTCGGGTGCTGCTCGGGACGAGCAGCTTTAAGGAGGGGGTAGTGTAACGTGTTGTCGTGAGAGCAGCACAACAATGTCAATAAACAGTTTAGTTGTCTGTTTATTGACATTGTTACGCATTCGGCATTGTTGTATGTTTATAGACATTGTTGCTTTTGGCATTGTTGTATTTGTTTATAGCCATTGTTGCGTTAGACATTATTGTGTCTGGCATTGTTGTGTCTGTTTAATGACATTGTTGTATTCATTTTGATTTAGTTACGCCTCTTCATCATTTCCTCCATGTACGGAGTCAGACACTTCAGACATGGAAGTAGATCTGTCATTCACGTTCCTCCAGCCAGTGTTTTGCAGCATTTCTACGAGAGCCTTTATGACGTCCTGTTGTCCATTAATTACCTCCTGCTGTTTAGAGAACATCTTGACCAAGATATCGTTCACTGTTCGTCTGTGTTTAATCCAGGCCTTCAGCGATTTGATGAGACATTTCACTTTGTCTCCCTTGAACTCATCGTTCACCTCGAGCTCGTCATCCACCTCGGGGTCATCATACACCTCGGAGTCATCGACCACCTCGGGGTCATCGTCTACCCTAGGGTTATCGACCACCTCGGGGTCATCGTCTACCCTACGGTCATCGACCACCTCGGAGTCATCGTCTACCCTAGGGTCATCAACCACCTCGAGGTCATCATCCACCTCGGGGTCATCGTCTACCCTAGGGTCATCAACCACCTCGAGGTCATCATCCACCTCGGGGTCATCGTCTACCCTAGGGTCATCAACCACCTCGAGGTCATCATCCACCTCGGGATCATCGTCTACCCTAGGGTCATCGTCCACCTCGGGGTCATCGTCTACCCTAGGGTCATCGACCACCTCGGGATCATCGTTGTGAGCCCAGGCAGAGAAAAACTTCACAAAAAAGATGACGCATATCAATATCAAGAGAAAGGATACGTCATTTGTGGAGTAGCTGATGGGTACGTCCGGCATGCTTTGTTGTCCGAGAATCTCTTTTATCCAGGCCACCGTTTTCTCCTGGAAGGTTATGGTTGCTTCCGGGCGTTGAAACGACGGCGTTAGGAATGACGGCAGATATTGGGTGTAATGATGTTGCATTATCCTGTGATTTTCTAATACGTTTTTACCAACACCAAATTATCTAGTCTACGACGCACTTCTTATACAACCGATTCACAGCTTAGCTCTTTCAGGACTGGGTGCGGGCCGAAAAACCTCTCCCACAAGGATATTTGTCAGTCTGGGCTGACGATGCTGCCATTGGAGAGAATTACCCATTCCCTGTGCCCCTCTGATAACTCATAGACGGGTTTTTCCAGGGTCAAAACAGCAAAGCAAATTGCCAGCAATCTGCAGAAATCTACTTCTGTGAAACGCAATCTCATCTTTGCTGGTGTTGGTACTTCAAGTAGTTGATAAATTTAATTTCAGGAGCAGTGATAATGCGACTGTATGGTAGTTGTTGACCTCGTCGTTGGTATACCAACACAACAATACCGAGTAGCTACAAATTTGTTGTTCACAATAATGGCGAATAAACAACCAATAAAAATAGAATAGGTTGGCGACGGCGACAAATCACAAATTTTTATAGTAAGAGACGTGCGGCACCTACAACAGATATTTATAAAACAAAACCTGAAAATAAACAACACGCGTTAGCGCACGTTCAGGTTCCATAGAAGTAGGGAAATTTCTTGCGTAGCTTAGTGACGGTCGCCTTCTCAAAAGGAATTCAACTGCGGTTCATTGATTTAGCAAATAATTTTTTACACCTACCAACTACATTATTATTATTATTTAATTAAACGTTGTCAACATTATTTGTCAATTTATAGGGAAGTAAACTAAAGCCAATAAAATTGGTGAACTATATTGTTAGTAATACACGTTTTACAGTAAAACGAAACAAAACTTAAATTTGGAGCGCATCTCGTACTCAGTGCACCGCTAATCCTTACTCACGATTTCAATCTCTCTTTCACAAACACAAAACCTAGCACAACAAATAATTATTATATTTAATGATAAAATGTGTGATCAATTAGGTTTGTCACGGAATAACGCCTGAATTGAGGGAACTTAAATATTGGAGAATCAGCACACGCTCATGCAGCTTAAGTAAAATCCACCATGACGATAGAAAGTAAACAGGCCTCCGAAACGGTTGACGCGGCTGATTACCCAAGGGGACTTCATTTGTAGTTTAAGTGTCGTATTTTAATTAATTATGGTTTTTATGATTTGAGGTTTTCACAGCGGTGAGTATGAAGACAGAAGTGGTTTATTTAATGATGCTTTTTCAGTAGCTCAGACTATATAATATTATAATTCAATCCGTAACTAAAAGAAAACACAACTTCTCACCATTACAAAGGCCGATTGGGTTAATGTTGTAAACGGAAATTGTGTCTATTTGCAATGAGAATCACACGAAACCCATTAATACAAAATGAAAAGTTACTGACTCTTTAAATAAGTGGGACACAGATTCCCGATTATACGGGGGATTGTCTAGTTTTAAAAAAAAATTGACAGTGGAACCACGGTTCCGGAGAATCTGACGTAAATAAGTCTCTGTAATATAATGTATTGAAATGTAATAATTCTTATATAAGATAAGTACCTGTGATATTCTAAAACGTTTTCAACAGCACAAAATTATCCACTGTACGACGCACTTCTTCTACAACCGACTCATATAAACACACAACAATGCCGAATGCGTAACAATGTCAATAAACAGACAACTAAACTGTTTATTGGCATTGTTGTGCTGCTCTCACGACAACACGTTACACTACCCCGTCCTTAAAGCTGCTCGTCCAGAGCAGCACCCGAATACTACGCCAACCTGTCCAGGTGGACTACCATCATCCGGGCGCTGGCCATCTTCAGATGCTGGCGGCATGTTTATGTGCGTTATAGATTATCCTGTAGTGCAGACTCCATTGTTGACAATCCCACTTCTGACACCAATGTAACGTAGGTCGGCGTTGCGACCTTGGATTGTCAACCCTGATTTATCCACGTCAAATTAAATCAGTTACAGTGGTCTGCCCATACAGTCATCTCTCTACAACAACAACACACTCGAGTCTGTGTGCGCACACACACACACATTCTCTCGCACTGTCCATATTAGAATATAAAACTATAATTTTAAACGTTGTTGAAATTTCAGTTTCTCACTGTCTTCTGGAATGCTGTATCGTGTAGTCTGGTAGAAATTTACCGTTTCAGAGGTGCCTGCTGCCTCCATCATAAGGGCTCACTGCACCTCTGAAACGCCCTGATGATGGAGGTAATAAATACTTTTGAAACGTCAATAATCTTCATATTATCAGGCCAATATCGTAAAGAAATTACAGATGTTTTAGAAATGTAAATTAGTTTTTTAAATAAGGGATTTGAACGGGTAATGTGGTATCTCTTACAAATTCGTCCATGAAGATTATCTTTAGGAAATTAAGTTATTTATTGTGAAGTGCTACAGATTCGTTCTGAACGGATCCACGTGGTAAGCGGTTTCCTGTAGCAAACCTTTCGTGAACAATATGTTATTCTGCTAATAAGGTAAGGGGAGACCCACGCAATATAGCCTAGGTACAGTCAGGAAAGAAACACCAAAGAATCAAGGACACACGGTGCTGTGTTTAACAAATAGCTCAATTTTAAAAAATTAACAAAGATATTGATTTACTCTGGCGTAATGAACTCTTGGGTGCAAAGCCGTGGAGACTTACAGATAGACACACAGCTGGTGTGGTACGTGAAGAAATTAGTTTACGTCACGCTGTGCGGAAACAGTGATCTGCGCATGCGCGAGTAACTCGTATGATGTGCTGTGTGGATAACGCGTAGCGCTGTTAAAACAGGACACAGTCGAATTTATCATTCTTCAATATTAATCTACAGTCTGTGTGCGTAAACCTCGGAGCAAAATAACGTTGAAACTTTAAAACCATGAGGACAGGAACATTATCATGTTAAGGTAATTTTAACAGTTAACAATGAAGAATAATATAAAAATAAAATTTAATCGCAAATATTCGCAAATCACACGTCTTGACTTAAATATTAGCCAATAACAAAATTTTAAATTTTACTGATGAAACCTTTTAATGTTATCTCAAACATACCATTTTGTGAAAGTAAAGGGTTTTTTAAGCCAGTTTCGTTAGTCATTTCTTATGCTTTACAAATCATTTCGACAAATTTTAAGTTTATCTTTTCTACGTAAAAAAATGTTACATTTAAAATCTATTGAAATTATATTTTAATGAAACTGATTTAATATTATAACGGTTAAGGGATAGAATTTTTGTGCCATTATCCACTTTTTAAGCGTGATTACAGTCACAAACGTGCCTACTTTGGTTCGATCTCCTGTCCCACTAAGGTTTACGAACTACGCGATGTTTTACAGACATTTACGTGGTACTAATTTAGAAGCGAACTTGACATTTAAACATAAATTCTGCTGTACTTCAAGCGAAGACCAATTTGGGCTTAATCATCCACTAGTCTAAATTTAGTCAGAAACCATAAATACGCAATACCTTAACAAGGATACCAGAATGTAATATAAATTACAGAATGCTTATTTTACGCTGACAGAGGAGAGGATGATATTTGGAAGGTGCAATGGATGAAATTTCGAACTCCTCCCACATAAACCGTTATATGTGCACATTTTACACACATGAATCAACTGTTTTGATGATTACACCAATTCTAATTTTCCAATTTGTGACCTTTAACGTTGGCTGACCTTATAAAACGGAAATGACGAACTCACATATCTAATCTTGGTGTTAGAATTAAAAATGTGTTTTCTGTTTACAAATGACGTTTATCTGTCATCTAGAATAATGCAGTGTTTTGTAAATATAACGATAAATACGTAAAAAAAAAAATATGACGTCAGTAAGGGCTTGGAAAACGTTTTCGAATATACATAATTAATATTTAGATTTTATTAATATTATAATAGTAATTTTCTTTAATTCAGCAAGGTCTGTGCTAGAATTGTATAAGATATAACTTGCATGTATTTTGAATACCAATTTGTTATGCAATGCGACTCTTAGTGAGAAAACCACAAATTATATGTGACAGGATTCAAAATAAAATAATTTCAAACTGAACTGAACTAAACGCTAATAATACAGATCGAAAATTTGCAGTATTTGAGGGTTGAAGTGATCATATTAACAGACGTATTATGAAACGTACTTAAATGAGGCGATGAAAATCGTGTGAGGTGATTATAAGAATGAAATTAAAAAAGGCACTGACACAAGAGAAGATCAGGAGTTATCCCTTTACAAAGCACTCACAGTGAAAGAGAGAAAACCAAATCAGAAAATCTCTCATTTATAAACGTAACTTCTGCGTTATCGTAGTTCTGGAAGAATCATCTTTGTAAAGGATAAATTCTAAAGAGGGAGGAAACAGTTTCTTCAAGACAAAAGTTTATTATGACACTACATAATGTTAATAACTGTGCAGATCGAATAACATTTATTGAACTACTCGATACTGCTTCTAATTATTTATGTTGTTCGTTATAATAATTTTTTGTTACTTTTATATAACAAGTAATTTATATTCGTTCTAGAAAGCACCTTTTTATATTTACATTTTGAGTGGTCTTACTTGTTCAGAAAACTTATTAAACATTGTAAATGTTCACAATGTAATTCAAACAGTTCTATTATATAAAATAATTGACATAATCATTTATGTTAGACTCACCTGCAAATTAATACAGACCTTTTCTACCATATATAAAACTACATTTATATTATTTAAACTTTCAATCACATCAAAATAAACAAAACATTTCGCATTAATTTGCTTTCGTTTGTTATATTTTATGAACAATATTATTCCGCTCTTAAGCCCGATAAAACATGAAAAGAGATCGAAATATACGAATAACATAAAAGTTAAAATTCCTGCTCGTTTACATACGCTACACATTCCAGGAACAGCTACCAATGTCTCTTTATTTGAGGTCCTAGTTAATTATTACACTCTGATAGTCTGATACGGTCAGACAGACAAATTTAGCAGGGTTTAAACGAACTGAATCCAAACGGAAATACATATATCGAGTTTATTCACTACATTACGTAAGACAGCAATCGATAGTCGATCTCGGAGGAGGTGTTTTTGCTGCATGAATCAAATTTTTATAAGAAATTTACAATACGTAATAATAACGATAAATCGAAAGTCGATCTCGGGAAAGGAATTTTACCGCATGAGACACATTTTTATGAGAAATTTACAATACGTAATAATAACGATAAATCGA